ACACACACACACACACAGCGAGAGAGAGAGAGAGAGAGAGAGAGAGAGAGAGAGAGAGAGAGAGAGAGAGAGAGAGAGAGAGAGAGAGAGAGAGATGGTGCTAGAAAGAACGGAAATTGAGCCGGTGAGATGTGGTCGACATTTGCTAGAAGACGAAGTGGGCGGTGCGCGCCTGACGGGGTGTCGCTACCTTTCTTTTTTTTTTTTGTTCTTGACCGGGTGACGCTACTTGAACGCGCGACAAGCGGGGACTGACGGCAGCTGTACGGCAGCTGTTTTTATTATGTTATAGCAGTATATTTATCAAGAACCGAAATTGAGAAAAAAACAAAAACGAAGTGCGAGGAAAGCAGCCATTTGATCGATCTCCATCCAGCAGCACGGAAGGGGTCTTTTGTTTTCGTTTTTTTTGTCTTTTTTTTTTCACTATTCATTTGATAGTCCGCGCGCGAAGGTTTCGAATCGTGGTCGTGTGATGTAAGAGAATCTCGTGCCAGAGAGTCACCACCTTTGTGGGTGTTGACGACAACGCCTGGGACTGCGATGATTTATTTTATTTTATTTTTTTTCAATCGGTACACGTCCACATATCCCCATCTCTCTGTCCGTACATGAAGTGAGAAGTTTTGGCGGGAGAATGTGGACATTCCTGAAAAATCCAGGAGAGAGAGCTGGCAAGAAAATTCGTCGTCGAGGGATTTTTTTCTCTGCCAAAACGAGTGGATATTTTGGCGCGACGATCATCTGGAATTGTCCTTTTGTTCGATAAACGAGCAAGAAGGTTTTTGTTTGAACTGCGAAGGGCGAGTCTTTCAGGCAAAAAGGCCATCTGGACTCCTTGTACATTTAAATAAATAAATAAATAAATAAATAAATAAAAGAGACAAATAAATAAATGAATGAATAAATGAATAAATAAATGAATAAATAAATGAATAAATAAATGAATAAATAAATAAATTGCGTATAGAGCTCGATTGAGAAGAAAGAAGACGCAATACCTCACATCACTTATTCGGACGAAGAATTAAGAAAACATGTTTCCTGCTGCTAACTTCTCGATCAGTCTTTTTGTTTTTCCACGGGGAGAAAGGGAAGGGGAGGGAGGGAGAGGCCTTGTGAGATACTAAGTGGTCAGGGATGAGACATGGGGGTAGGGGGGGAAAAAAGGAAAAGAAAAGGGTAGAAAAATTGAGCAGTACTTGATTTGTTTCTTTCCCAAAATCAAGACTTTTATAATGTATTTTCAAATTTGGGAAGCGGGCCGAGGCTCCCGTACGCTGTTGATTTCAAATTACGATCTCCATAGGTTGACACGTCAGCGTGACATCTTTGTATTTTTTTTTTGCGGTCGGATTTATTCTGGATAAGAAAGGATTAATTATGGATAAATATTCATTATGGATGAAGATTAATTATGGATAAGGATTTATTATGGATAAGCATTTATTATGGATAGTAAACCCATACTAAGTGGGTACTAAGTGGGTACTAAGTGGGTACTAAGTGGGTACTAAGTGGGTACTAAGTGCCCGTACTGAGTGCGAACTGACGGATTAATTTGTTCAATTTCTTTTCGATGTTAGAAAACTTTCGAAAGGGATGGGATGAACATCGACCCAACGAGCTGAATATTAACAAAAAATCTAAAAATACTCAGGAGCTTGAAATCATCGAAAGCTCTGGGAGGCAGGCAGGCTGGCTGGCTGGCTGGCAAAAAAAAAAAAAAAAAAAGGATTCGGGAGGCAGGCAGGCATCGCGAGATGATGTATGTGCTCCTAGTACGCGCAAAGTACATTCCGTAAAAAAAAAGTAAAAAACAAGGTAAAAAAGAAGTAAGAAAAAAGTAAAAAAAAAAGTAAAAAAAAAGTAAAAAAAAGGAATGCTGAAGCAGTTTCTTTTTGTCACGAACATTTTGTTTTTCACATTTTGGTTTTCCCGAAAACTACTTTTTTTTTTTGTTTTGTTTTGTTTTGTTTTGTCGCTCCCGAACAGGAAGGAACGGATTCGTAACGAGGGGAAGAAAGAATGTTTTTTTTGAGTTGTGGAAGGGGAAAAAAAAAAAGATAAAGAAAAAGAATTGAGGTTTGTGAGGAAAAAAAAGAGCGACTGGTTCATATAACAGTAATGCACCGCAAAAAAATTGTGAGAAAAGAAAAAAAGGACTCCGCGTAGTGAACTTGAACAAGAAAGTTCGTGAGTGGGGCGCTCAGTCGTCTTTTTCGTTTTTTGAGTTTTCTTCGTCTGTATTTCCTGATTAAGAATACAATGTAATGTCGATCGAAGGGGAAAGCAATCTGTACGCGGAAAATGTGAGGAAAGGGAGGAACGAAGTCGCAAATGTATTCTTTTTTAAAACGTTTTTTTTGGTGCTGTAATAGGAAAATAGCAAAATAGCAAAATACTACTTGCTTGTCCAAGCACTGCGCTTGGTACAAGTCGTACGTACTATCTATATTATATTATACTATGTAGATATATACAGATAGTACGTACATAGATATAGATGTTCACAACGCACGTCGAACAGTCACGATAGCGCAGCTGCCTCACTTTCCTTCCTTGCACACCAGATGAGTGCAGGAGCGATTTTTTGTTCTGATCTATCAATCAGTGAGTGTGTCCCACCGACAGACTCACAACCCGTGGTATCGCCATAGTAGACAAGTCTTGCTAACATGCGCGCGCGCGCGCGCGAGTGAGAGAGAGAGAGAGAGAGAGAGAGAGAGAGAGAGAGAGAGAGAGAGAGAGAGAGAGAGAGAGCTCTAATCTGCGAGTGAGAAGTAGCCGAACAGGTCTGACAGCTATGGAGAGAGAGAGAGAGAGAGAGAGAGAGAGAGAGAGAGAGAGAGAGAGAGAGAGAGAGAGAGAGAGAGAGAGAGAGAGAGA